TCTTCAATCTTCTCTCTTGTCTCTGCTCCAAACCATCAGCTCATTTGCTAAACTTCTGTCCTTTCAGCCTCCTTCTGAATGTGAGCTTCTGTAAAAAGCTGGCTGCAGTCCACCATCTTGGCTACGCCCCTCAGATTACATTTTCATGGTTTGCCTTGCTTGCATATTTCATTAAATATCCTAATCCCCCCCAGATTTCAAGTACCTAATGAGATAGATTTACAAATCTAATAGGCAAGGTCCCTCAATCCCTTGAGGGATTCACACCTCCAACTGATCAAACCTATGAATGTGAGAGTTCAGACTGTCATTGGTCAGCACAGTTCATAAACAGCCATGTGGTCTTCAGATGTTCATTTAAAAATCACAAGTCTAATTTCTTTTTGTAGTAAAACACCACAAGGCTAATTGGCAACCTTCTCTAATTTGCTAAATTGTTCTAAACCCTTTAAAAAACAGTTGTTTCTGGATTATACTAAAGATCTCAAAACCTTTTAAATTTAACACAAAAGTAAGTCCATTAAGGATAATTAATTGGCCTTTTTTTTTTAACTCTCCTGGAGGTATAAAATAAACTTCCCAGCTAAGAGAATAGATGCAGCATTTCAGAAGGTTTGATGAGATTTCATCAGCTGTAGAACTGAGGACTATGTTTTTCTAGGACATTTCTTTCTTTTTAGTCAATTAAATTTATTGAATGCTTAAATTATTCTTTTCATACCTACCAGTACTATGAGAGAGGTTATAATGTTACCCTAAATGAAAACAGAGCAGAGAGGCTATCACATAAATTCCCCTATGTTACAGCTGGGGGGGAAGGAGGCCTGGGATGTGATTACTATAATGTGTCTAGTAGGCAAGAAGGTACAATATATATGTTGGAAAGAGCTACATTAAAATTTTAAAATAAAAATTTGGTTGTTAAAAAGCTAAAGCTAAAAGATAAAAGCTTAATTTATCTGGAAAATAACACATTTTCTATTTCTGTACTATCTATTGAGTCTGCTGTTTTTCCTAGTTCCTTCTGAATTTATCAACTTTTCCTGCAGAAAGTAAGAACTAGACCTAAATGTGGACCTAATAACATAGTAAAACTATTTTTATGTGCCAATTTACAATGTGCCCAAACCATAAACTAAATATTGTTATAGTCATTATCATTTGACCCTATATAATTATTCTATATAATCATAATTTTAAAATAAACATCTAAGTAAACTTTTGCAGTGGCTCACATCTGTAATCCCAGTACCCTGGGAGGCTGAGGTGGGAGGGTCACATAAGGCCAGAAATTTGAGACCAGCCTGGGCAACATAGTGAATCTTTTTCTCTATAAAAAATTAAAATAAATTAGCCAGGTATTGTGGCATGGAATATGCCTGTAGTCCTAGCTACTTGGGAAATTGAGGCAGGAGGATTGAGTGACTGGCAGGGTCACTGCATTTCAGTCTGGGCAACAGAGTGAGACACTGTCTAGGATGCTGCTAATTGACATTTTTCTGGTATGTCAGAGTTGTGGTGGCATAGAGTCCAAACCCATGTGTTTTTGGGGTCAGTTTACAAAGGGAAGGGCATCCAGGTTCTCCCAGACAAATATCTTTCAAATTTCACACATACCCCATTTTAACTGAAACACTGTCTAATTTGGAAAGATAAAAATTTCTTATATTTCAATTTAACTTCCTTAGCATTCTTTCTGGATTTAATTCTTTCTTTCATACATTTATTAGGTTCTGAATTCTTTTCATTTTTTGTTTGGATCAGATTTACAAGTTATAGTCAATTTATTGACAATTATCAACAATAAGAGGAATAGTATCAACATTAATGTTATTAATATTGCTTTTCTTAATCCTACTCCTCAGACTTAACCAATGTTAACAGTTAGATGTGTATCTTCTATGTCTTTCTACTTTGTGTGTACACAAACACGCACAAATTGAGGTCATTTATTGAGCACATATTAAAAGATATTTAAGGCTATGATTAGGGAGCCACCCTCTGGTGCTAAGCTGGCAAGATTCAAATCATGGCTCTTCCACTTACTAGATGTACATCCTTGTTTGCTCATCCAAAATGAAAATAATAATGGCCTCAATTTTATAGCTATCTTCTCCAAATTAAACAAGGTAATAGTGAAGATGTGGGTCCAGCTTCAGTCTTCTACAAGTTTCCAGTCAATTCACTAATTGGGGAATCTTTCCCCAATTTATGTTTTTGATTGGCTTATCAAAGATCAAATGACACTAAGTGTCTGGGTTCATCTCTTGGTTCTCTATTCTGTTCCATACATTTACCTTTCTAGACAGGTAGCCATCTACCATGCTGTTTTGATCACTACAGATTTATAGTATAGTCTGAAGTCTGGTAGCATGATTCCTCCGGATTTCATTTTTATTTCTGAGTAATGTCTTGGCTGTTAGAGGTTTTTTTCTGATTCCATATAAAACGAAGTACTATATCTTCCAGATCTTTAAAGTACAACAGTGGTGCTTTAAAGGGGATTGCATTAAATTTATATATTGCTTTGAGTAGTATGGACATTTTAACAATGTTGATTCTTCCCAGCCATGAGCATGGTATGTTTTTCCATTTGTTAACATTTTCAGCTATTTCTTTTCTCTGTGTTTCATAGTTCTCTTTATAGAGACCTTTCATGTCTTTTGTTAGGTAAATTCCCAAATATTTCATCTTTGGCACTACTGTAAAAGGAATAGAGTTTTTGACTGCTTTTTCAGCTTGGCTGATGTTGGTATATACAAAGGCTACAGATTTATAAGTGTTGATTTTGTGTCCTGAGACACTGCTATATTCCTTGATAACTTCTAAGAGTTTTGTAGTTGAGTCCTTGGGGTTTTCCAGTTATAAAATCATAACGTTTGTGAAGAGTAAAAGTTTGATCTCCTCTGACCCTGCTTGGATACCCTTGATTGCCTTCTCTTGCCTGATTGTGATGGCTAAGACTTCTATTACAATGTTAAAAAGCAGTGGAGACAATGGCCAACCTGGCCTGGTTCACAGTCTGAGTGGATAAAAGATTTAAACTTAAGACATGAAACTATAAAGGTTCTTGGAGAGAGTGCAGGGGAAACACTTGAATAAATTGGCTTGGGAGAATACCTCATGAGGCAACCACCACCCCCCCCCCAGGAAATTGAAGCAACATGAAATATACATTACTGGGACCTGATCAAACTAAAAATCTTCTGCACAGCCAAGAACACCGTAAGTAAAACAAACAGACAGCCCTCAGGATGGGAGAAGATATTTGCAGGTTATGTTTCTGACAAAGGTTTGATAACAAGAATTCACAGAGAACTCAAACTTATTAATAAGAAGAGAGCAAGTGATCTCATTTCATTGTGGGCAAGAGACTTGAACAGAAGCTTCCCTGCAGAAGATAGGCACATGGCCTACAGACACGTGAAAAAATACTCATCATGTTTAATCATCAGAGAAATGCAAATCAAAACCACTTTAAGATATCTAACTCCAGTAAAAGTAGCCCACATAACAAAATCCCAAAACTACAGGTGTTGGTGTGGATGTGGAGAAAGGGAACACTTCTGCACTGCTGGTGGGAGTGCAAGCTAATACATTCCTTTTGGAAAGAAGTTTGGAGAGCACTTAGGGTTCTAAAAGTAGACCTAATGTTTGATCCTGCAATTCCTCTACTAGGTGTATATCCAAAAGATCAAAAATTACATTACAACAAAGATATTTTCACCAGATTGTTTATTGCAGCTCAATTCATAATTGTCATGTTGTGGAAGAAGCCCAAGTGCCCATAGATTCATGAATATATTAATAAATTGTGGTATATGTATACCATGGAATATTACACAGCCTTAAAAAAGGTGACAACTTTACCTCCTTTATGTTTACATGGATGGAGCTGGATCATATTCTTCTTAGTAAAAAGAATCTTGTATCTCAAAAATGGAAGAAAAAGTATCCAATATACTCAGTACTATTATGAAACCAATTTATAATCACCCACACTTTCATATGAAAGATGAAACACAACTATAGTGCAATATGAAGGAGGGAAGAGGAGAGGGAGGGGAAGGGAGAGGGGATGTTGGATGGAGGGAGGGTAAATGATGAGACCTCACCTATGGTGCATATTGCAAGGGTACATGTCAAATCTATTAAGTGTAAAATATAAATGTCTTAACACAATAATTAAGTGAAGGTTATGTTAACCAGTTTGATGTAAGCATTCTTAATTTTATATAAAATCAGCATCTTGTACCCCATAAATGCATTAATGTATTAAAAAAGATGTAAAAAAGTATCACATAAAAAAAAACCAAGTTAATATGCATAAGGCATCCAAAACGATACCTAGCTCTTAATAAGTGTAGTTTATTTTTACTTCTATATGCCAGGTAATAAATATTAATAACCATAAATATAATCTAAAAAATTAGAATTATTTATTCTAAACCAAATGAAATAATACATACCATGTTACTCTGTAATTAGCTTGACTTAACAATAGCCCATGGACTTTTTTGCTTGTGAATACGTGTAAGTATGCATTCTTTTTAACAGATGCATATTATTCCATTTATTATTTCATTTATTTAACCAATCTATTGGGTATTTGCATTTTCCATGAGCCATCCTAAAATAAACAGCAGAGGGCAAGATCCTTGCACAAATTTTAAGTATTTCTAGAAGGATCAATTCCAGGAAGGGAAATTGCTGGGTTTAAGACTATGTGCAATTTATGCAGTTATAGTTGGCAACTTATACTGCACTCCATAAAGGCCACAGTGCTGTGTATTCATAATGAAGCATCTTGAATCAGCAAGAGGAGCCTGAGTGGATGGCTGTTTCAGTTAGATTTTGGTCTCGACTCTCAAACTTCACTTCCTAAAAAGAGAAAAGACAGCTGTTATTTTATTAGGGGTGTGTGTGTGTGTGTATGTGTGTGTGTGTGTGTGAGAGAAAGAGAGAGAGAGAGAACATGGCAAACATATCTTTTCTTGCAGAGTGTGGCTAAGAGCTTATCCTCTGTGCTTGAACAAATATCTACATGGTCCAGATTCACCAAGGAAGAGACGTCCACCCTGGGCACAGTCCTACTGGAGAGTGTGGAAAGCACCACATTGGCAGCTCTTCTGAACCCCTCAGCGAACTTCAGTGAGACTATCCAGACGGAATTCCTGGGTAGGACATTCCACTCATGGCAAGGTGTTGATTTTCATGAGTGTCTCTGGCAATGGGATTTTTATCACCCTCCTACTCATCTTTTCCCCAACTGGTCTAAACCCCTATCTCCAAGTAAAGCAAGTCTAATCATAATAACGTCTCCCATTCATTGAGTGTTTGGCAAGGACCAGACACTGTGCTAAAAGTATGTCATTAATTTTTCAACAAATATTTGTGCTGGGTTAAGGTATGTGAGTTATTTGCTGTGTTCAAGTATTATCAGCTCTTCCTGTTGGGAACATGGTAGGATTGTACTTCCTGGTTTGGGGATTCAGCAGGATTTTGTGACTAATTAAGGCCAATGAATTGGGGAAGAGAATAGTTGAAGATGTGAGATGTTTGAGAACTTTCTTTCCCTCTGACATAGTTATTGGCAGAGTTTCAGATCACAGCTGTTCCATCTGTGTGGGTCCCAGAGTAAGGAAAACAGAATGTGGCTCCAAGGCAACAAATGAGAAGCACAAAACCTTAATGGCAATACATCCTTGTTATCTTCTAATCTATTAAGGTTGTTTGTTACTGCTGTGTGACTAATCCTTTCCTGACTGACACATGCTTGATAGGGGGCCATGTGGGAATACTTGATGCTATGGATCTTTTATGCTAACACCCCATTTCTGGTAGTAGTTTTTATATCAGCTACATAAACTTAGGGAATTTAATCCTAAGGGATGCCTAGAGGCCAAGAGGTATTAACAGAAATAGGGTATTTGGCAGAATCTCACCAGTTGTGAATACAAGTGGCCTCACAATTGTTACATTTTAGTGACTTGAGTTAGAAAATAGACAAACATCTTATATACCAGATAGAGCTATTGCTACTGAGGAAAATACAGCAGGCCTGGGAGGTTAGAGAGGGTCAGGAATAAGGACAAAAGTTGCTATTTTATTTTATTTATGTTATTTTATTAGTATATTGTTTCATTTACTTCTTTTCTTTTATTTTATAATTTTTTGAGACAAAGTCTCACTCTGTCGCCCTGGGTAGAGTGCTGTAGTGTCATAGCTCACAGAACCTCCAACTCCTGGGCTCAAGAGATCCTCTGGCTTCAGCCTCCCGAGTATCTAGGGCTATAAACTCCTGCCATATCACCTCTCTAGGTTTTCCATTTTTAGTAGAGACAGGGTTTTGTTGTTGCTCAAACTTGTCTTGAATTCCTGAGCTCAGGTAATCCAACCACCTCAGCCTCCCAGAGTGGTAGAATTGCAGGTGTGAGCCACCATACCCAGCCTGAGTTGCTATTTTATAGAGTGTGATTATAGAGCCACTTCATTGGGGCAGGGACCTCAAGGAGAAGGAGCCATGTAAACACCTGGAGAAAGAGCAATTGTTGGAATACCTGATGAGTTTAATAAACAATGGGGTGGCCAGTGTAGCTGAATGGCCTAGAGGATGGTGAGCACAGTTAGAGGAGGGGTTAGAAAAGAGAAGGAGGAAAATTTTGCAGATAAATATAAGAGGGTTTTATTTGAAGAAAGATTGGGGTGTGTTGGAGACTTTGGGCACAGGCATGGCATTATTTGATTAATATTGTGAAAAGATACTTTTGGTTCCATTTTATTTTCATAAAGAGTCAGTGGGACAGGTCTTGCAGCTATCACCATGTTACAGATGAGAGACAGGAGACTCAGAGAGGTTAAGTCATTGCTCAGATTTGTACAGCTGGTGAGTGGCAGAGCTTGGTCTCCTTGTTTTAGCCATGTGACTGGATAACCTGAACCCCTGTCTGCCATATTACTCTTGCCCCAGCCCCTTCCTGTGTCCTTGGAAAACTTATCCAAATTTGGAGTATCCAGAAGATGATGAGTCCCTTCTGTTCTGCTTCACTTGCAGCTATGTATGTGTGCCTTTTTTAGATGGAAGCCAGACTCAGGACCCACTTTCCGGGTGACCTCATACAAACTCTCCCTTTCTTTATTTAGATATTGAGAGCAAAGTTATCAATGATGAATGCACTGAAGAGAATATAGTCCTTAACCTGAAAGCCAAGGGGGATGAGATGAAGATTGGGTGTTCCACAATTGCAGAATCAGGATCCACAGGTACTGACTCACTTCCTGGAATCCAGCTGAGGGTGCCTTCCACCAGCAAATATTTACTGATAACCTTCCAGATGCCAGGACCAGTGCAGGTGGTTGAGAATCAATGACATGAAGGCAGAAAGGGTCTGTTCCCTCACTAGTCAATTTTTTTATACTGAAAATGAAAAATACTTTAAAAACAAAATACACATTTAAAAGATCCCATCTCTACTAAAAAATAGTTGGGCATTCTAGCAGGTGCCTGTAGTCCCAGCTACTTGGGAGGCTGAGGCTAGAGAATCACTTAATCCCAAGAGTTGAAGGTTGCTGTGAGCTATGACTCCACGGTACTCTACTGAGGGCCACAAAGTGAGACTCTGTCTCCATAAAAAATAAAGAAAGAAAAAAAGTAAAATAAAATAATAAAAAACCCTTCAAACTAAGAAGATTGAAAGCCAATTGAAAGCAAAATTAAACAAAAAACACAAACAAAAGAATCTTTAAAATGTATTTTTATATTTAAAATATCAAATTTGCATGTTGAAGTTACAGTATCTTACTTATATTGAGTTACTACATTAGCAAAATTAATATATAAAATTATATATGTGTTTTCTAATGTATTTCTGTTGGAGAGAATGAACCTGTATCAGGGGTTGGCAAATTTTTCCTATAGCAGACTTGTTAATAAATATTTTAGGTGTAATCAGTACAGTCTCTGTCACAACCCCCAACTTCACCATTCCAGGGCAAAAGCATTTGTAGACACTGTCTCTATGAACAGATATGGGCATATTGCAATAAAACTTTATTTATAAAAAGCAAGGGATGGGCAGACTGGCCCATAGGCCATAGTTTGACACCCCCTGATCTATGTACATGATTGATATTGTGCTTAATGCTTTGTGTGAGAGCACAGGGTACAATGTGGAAGAAATATGTAGCTAAATTCTGAGGAATAAGAGAAAGCAGGAGAGAGTGTTCCAGGCAGGATGAGCTACGGCTCTGCCTTGAGAAAAAGCTTGGAGTGTTCCTAGAACTGGGACTAGGTAGTGTGAATGTGGGAGAGAGGGGAAGATAACTGAGGCTGTTGAACCCCAAGCTGTTACATGGTATGTTTGGGCTTTCTCCTGAGGGTGCAGAAAGATTTGGAAGATTATGATTATGTCAGAAGATGATATGATTATGTTTTCCATATAGAAGTCTGTTTATAAAGGAGCCCTCTGGCTGCAATGTAGACCCTTTTTGGAGAGATGGGGCTGAGGGCAGATGAGGATGTATGGGGAGCCAGTGGTTCAGGAGAGAGGTGCTAGGCATGGGAGACGTGGAGAAGAGATAGACTCAAAGCACCGTAAGAAGAAAGTGGTCTTTGGGTGGAGAAAAAACTGAGGATGACTCTCCAGGCTCCAGGTCAGGTGACATCATTTTTTGAAAATGGGGATGCAGATAAAAGAAGAAGGAAGAGGAAGTGCTCAGTTCATTATGTCCAGGGGGACATCTGTGGGGTTCCTCCCTCAGCTTGGAGGTGGCAGATGAAGGCTGGAGGATGGCACTGTCTGTGTGGGACAGGAAGAAAGTCTCAGACACATCCCTAGGCACCATCATTATTTAAAAGGGAAGCCTCCTGAAGAGACTAAACAAGAAGAACATAAACATAGGAGGAGAGTTTTATTACCACCAAGGAGTTGTGGAGTTGTGTTTTCCCTAAAAGTATAAATACAGTTTTTTTTTTAAACATAATGTATAACTCTGCTAATTGGATTAGAGTGTAGTGGCATCATCATATCTCACTGCAGCCTCAAACTCCTGGGCTCAAGTGAGCCTCCTGCCCCAGCCTCCTCAGTAGCTGGGACTACAGACTCTCACTACCACACCTGACTAATGTTTTTAGTTTTAGTTTTTGTAGAGATGGGGACTCACTACTTGTCAGACTAGTCCAGGCCTCAAGTGATCCTCCTTCTCAGTCTCCCAATGTGCTAGGGTTACAGGCATGAGCCACTGCATCTGGCCCACAAATTCAAATTTAATTTTAAATGTATGGTTCCAGGAGGGCAGTCATCAATCTGGAAGTTCACTGGTATTTCAATCCTCAAAGCAAACCAGTGAGGTGGGTGGGATATTAAAGTGTGTAACTATTGACCACATGATTCCCCCTCTTTTTCTACTGAGGGGAATGTGCAGGGACCACTGGAGTGGCTTTTGTCTCCTTTGTGGGCATGGAGTCTGCTTTAGATGAGCATTTCTTCCAAGACCTCCAGACCTCCTTGGGCAACTCCCAGAGGAAGCTGAAGATGAATTCCCGTGTCATTGGGGGCATGATGACTGGGGAGAGGAAAGATGACTTCTCAGCCCCTATCATCTACACTCTGGAGAACATCCAGGTTTGTGAAGAGGTCTCTCCTGAGACCCCTGTCTACCTCAGGAACTCCCCATCTCCCTCCGTGGCCTCAACTCTCATTTTTGATGGGAAGCCCTAAAGGAGGCTCGTTTCCATCATTTCCAGCAACTAAAGCCACTTCCCAAAGCCACCTCTAAAGGAATGAGTTCTCCTGTTTCTCCATGGTGTCCCTCCATTCAGTAACTGGCATGATATTTAGGGTAGATGAAGTAGCATCAACACAGGTACATTGATGGTTATTTATTTGCATTAACTACATTCACATCAGTGGTGGAGATGTGTCTGGCCTCTAAAACATTTTATTTCAAACCTGCACTTTGAAATATTCAGCATTTTCTTCCATTCCCTACAGAACATATCTCTCATCTTCTTACCCCAAACTACTCTTGAAGTTGGTCACATGAATCCTTTTGAGAGGAATTCTCAGGGGACCAGTTTCAGACAGAGCAGAAATTGGAGAGGGCCTGTTTGTTTGCTGGAACAACATATGCCATTTGGACTAACAAGACTTGACCCATTATTTTCTCTTCAGTGATACTCTCCAGTATTGCCCAACTAGTTGTAGATATTTCTCTTAAATTTATCATTGTTGTATCTCTATTTTTCCAATATATGTCTGACCTTTTTGATAAGGTTCAAGTAAGCATCTTTATAATGAACTTAGTGGAATGTTCTGGAGGACTCCCCATCGACTCATCACTCTAAGTGTTTGATTCTGAGTCAGCACCATGAATATTCCATGGGTATATTTTTCTTGCTTTCCAGTCATGCTGGATTTATTTCAATTCCAGAAATGCACCAATTGCCTCTCTGCCCCAGGACATTTGTATGCGCTATCCTTCCTGCTTAGA